ATTATACTACACACATGAATATAATATTTATATTGTTCAAAACCATATGCAAAATCATACAGAAATAGATATGCATACCTACATTTACATACGAGTACATGCAGTAGCAAAGCAATAACAAACATCTTTTAAGATTATTTTGTGTTACAGAGGGACTTTAATTTTTTGAGTCTCAGCAATAAGTGTCCCAGAAAGGCAGAGACGGAAAAAATTCAGAACAAGTGATTCACACTGTCGTCACGTGTCTCATTGAGAGAGTTGTTATTTCTCATAAATTCTAACAGCTAGTTTGAGACACTCGGAAATTGTGTTATTGTCGATCTCTGTTTTATTTATATTAATTATGTTAAATACCACCCTAACTTCACACCCTTGCTCCTCTAGAGTTTTTTAATATCACCTGAGGCAAAGTTGCTTCAATTCCCTTAATTACAACAATAAAACCTTTCGCACTCCTCGGCTGGTAATACCAGTAAAATTTGTTGGTTTTTTTGGGAAAGATTTGAAGCAGAAAAATGAATTGAATTCCATCCACTTCATTTTTTGGCTGTACCAAAATTTTAGGAGCCCATGTATCAGCGCTTCTGAGAGCAGTTTCAATGCAGCGACCAAGCACTTAATAGAGAGTATAAAGGAAGGAACTCGAATTGTCAAGTTTATTTACATGTTTCTTATTCTTCACTTAAAAGCGATATGTACGAGGGGATTAGCAAAAGTTTAGAAAGTTGACCAGAAAAAATAAAATTATTTTTGTATTTATTCGTAATCTTTCAATTCATTTCTTAAGCATAGATCCACTCCTCAAAACAGTTTTCAAAATCTTTCTTTTCGAGCTTATCAAGTTCAGCAATAACCACATTAATTATCTCCTCTTTGTTATAAAAGGCTTTCGTTTTAAATATTTTTTAATTTTTGGAAATAACAAGAAATCAAAAGGTGCTATTACCGGGGAATATGGTGGTGGACGTATTTCTTCGACCCCAGATATCGCAACTCTAACTCTATTCGATATTTCTGCGGTATCGGATGGAGCGCTGTCCTCTGTCTTCCTGTTTTCCAACAAATTTTATTAAACCTTTGGTAAGCACTTTTCTGTGTCCCGTCTGATACTTTACCAGTGGAATAGTAGCTATGATTTTAAATCCAGTAAAATAAACTGGCATCATTATTTTCTCTGCTGATATTTTTTGCATAGATTTTACGAGTGGGTTTGCTCCTGTTGGACTGCTCTTTGGTTTCTAGATAGTACTTATAGAACCAAGATTCGTCACCTGTAATGACTTTACTAAACTGACCATTTTCGAATTTGTTTAGGAAAAATTTAGCACTCGAGCCTCTTTTTGGGCTTCATTTTAAATTCGTGGTACCCATCTAGCCAATTTCTTCGTGTATACCAGCTGATTTCTTAATCATTTTTTGTGCGAGTTGTTAGTCTCCGTCAATTTTTGACGTCACTGCATATCAGTGCAAGATTTTGGTCAACCTTCTCGGGTCTCGTCCTCTAAGGAAAAATGTCTTGTCTGGAATCTTCGGAACCACTTAGAAATAGTCTTAAAAACCGTGCAATCGTTCCATTAGCAAGTTGACATTCACTGAATATTTTTATTGGCTGTAAACTACGCCGAAACCCGAAGAGAATCACATGGCAAACTTCTGTTTGCGTTGGTGGTGAATTTTCGTCTGTCCTATCCCAAGTATCTTGCGTTTTGTCGTCTCCATTTTAGCCGATCGCTCTAAAGACAAATAAACAAATTGCAAAGGATTTTGTATAATTGGATTTAACAAAAACAAATTGAAAATCATCAAGTGACCTAACTTTTGTTAGCCTCCTCGTAATGTAAGAAACTACAAAAAATTTATAATAGGTATGTATGCTTTCTCCATGAAGATATGGTGAGAAGGGAAAAGCTAATATCATAACTATTCAAACTAAATAACACCTTACCCGATTTCGATGATTCACACAAATTCAGATTAGAGATAATATCTAGTCGTATCAATGTAGACAGTTATACATATTATATATTAATATATGTATATGAATTACGTCTCGCGATGTTAGTCCGCGATTTACTACTAGACTTCTTAACCGATGTTAATCAAATTAGAAAAGGTGTGCAGTTTTATCCAAAGATAGGATAGCATACAAATTATTTGTCTGTTATTTGAGGATTACAATTATCTGATAGCTCCAGACGATTTTAACAGATGGCGTGTTATTGACTCTAAGTATGAGTTAAATTAATTTAGTAAAAATGAAATATAGTGAAACTCAGTTATTTTTACTTTTCAAATTCTTGCTGTTAGTATAGTCAGTCAGACTGTTCCTGCATTGTTTTTCAGGAAAAAAATGAATTGATTAAGAGCATTTTTCCGGATATACAGAATAATTACTTGAATCATGACTGGCTCAGTCATCGGGCGATTTTAGCAGCCAAAAATGAATGTAATTTAGCTTCATTTTTTTTATAATGTTTTATTAAATATTTCCTATTTGGAAACTAACACTAATTACGAAATCTTAAAGCTAATTCGTATTCCTAGAACAAGTTAATTATTACCACTGTATAGATTAACAAAGTAAGCAAAGTACAATAAATTACGAATATAAGTTAAATTTATCAAAGAATGTGTTTATATAGGTATCATTAGGGAAACCAAACACTCATGTTTAAAATGTAATAAAAGATATCTCACAAAGGATAATTTGAAGTAAATTATAATATCATGAAGGATATATGCGGAGCACATCTCTGATGTAGAATAATTGGATGCGGCAAATCCCTTAGTCACAGTTCAAACGTGAATCCTTTCTCTTTAATCGCTTAGGGCAGTTCTGCTGTAATAATTTTTTAGCTAGAAAGTTTGGGTTGTTAGCTGACCTTAGTGAGTAATTTTTAAGCAGTTTCTCTAGAGCCTTGTTTTTGTTATGTCGTTAGAATTAATTTCTTTAAGTGATTCAAAATTGAATTGAATACAATTTTCAAGTGGCTCTGACGATATTCTGGAAGAGATTTGTATCCAATATTTGGTGTAAATACAGTGGTAAGATGCATGGCAAATGTGATATCCTTTTTCGGTCACTTCGAACCCACTCACCATTGTGAATTCTCAGTGGAGGGACTCTTGAAACTCTTAACTTTTCGCCACATAGAGTAGTTAGTATCCTTTTCCTTTTTTTGTTTCAGGACATCCTGAAGCGCTTTTAAATTTTATTATTATATTGAGCTCGTTTTTAAGGCCGGGGGACGAAACCTCTGTCAATCTTTCCTATGTTGTCTTTTTTTGGTTACCAGACTTGTAATGTCTTTACTCTGAAGACCGCTGAAAATTTGTCTTCTATGAGTGTTAGATGAGCCGTGCGTTGCAATTTTAGCTGCCAGATGTGCCATCAACTGCATTGTCGACATCTGCTATTCATTTTAGAAGAATGAGCGATTTTAGATGTTTTAGGCGTTGTAATCACCTTCTACTAAGAACCGTTGTTTACCTAGTTTAGAAAAGAAATCAGTAAATTGTGTTTCTGATATACTGTATCGAGGCGGACAATATATAGCGGAAATGTTTATTCCACCAGAATTTTTATAAATATAAACTGGAGTAGTAGGGGATGGACGTTTTTTGCGTTGGGAGGTGAGGTGCACTATTTAAAGGTTGGGCGTAGGATACAGAGTTCGTATTAGTAAACTTTGTATCGGCATCTTTTGCTTGATGCTGAGGGGCAGGAATATTGCTAGAAGACTTTTTACTGCCTTTGCTTTTTAGAGATATATATATTGGACAACCTCTATAATTGGCGGTGTGATTTTAACCACAATTGCTACATTTTTTAGACTCAGAGGTTCTTTTATATTTCAAACAGTCTTTAACTGTGAAAGTCTCCACAAATAACACATATACTTTGTAAAGCGCAATATCGGTTCGTATGGCCAAATTCTTGGCAATTGTGGCAGTTTGTAAATGGGATGAACTTCTTCCTTTTTAAGAGCTGGAAATCTGGCTCAATATAAGCCCTAAACTTTGGCTGAGGTATCTTAGCCTAATTTTTAATGATGAATACGTTTCTAACCCTGAAACCTTCTTCTTTCAATTTCCGAGGGACTTACACTGTGTGTCAATGCCCTTTAGGTTGACTACTAAGCTACGACTACTTTTGAGCTGGAAGATAACAAAGGACTTATTTTCCTTTTCAAAATTACTTGCCACCTTGCGATAGCTATCTTCTCCGTAGGTTTGAGCTTTCACTTCCTGGATATTTCCCTTTTTAATTGGGACTACATGGAAGCTATTTTTTCCAACTAGATCTACCAATTTGTTGACAAGGTTGCCAGAGTTTGCTTCTATGAGATAAATTGGCGGCAGCTTGGACGTTTTCTGCACATGCACTTGATCATCAGCATCAGAAAGCAATTGAAATCGATTATTGCTCATGCTGTCAAGAGTTTTTACAACTTTGTTTTGATTTTGTTCACTATTTTTTTGGGGTAACCGTTTCCTTTTTACAAGAATTTAGCGATCGATTCGATTCGATTGAATAACTGCTTTCTTTGCCATGCTATTTGCGGAAAAGTTTTCCATTTCGACTCTAGAAGGAGCTGGAGGAGTTGCGATAAGGAGCGATGAAGCTCATGAAGGGGCTGGTAAAGTTGTACTAGAAGGGATTACAAGAGCGAAGGGCTCATTTTTCAGTCGTTGTGTTTGCTGTTGGTGCTGTTGTTGTGGCGCTTGTTGTTGCTGTTGGCATTTTCCAAAATGACCAATTTAATCCCAAATACCAGAGGATTTTGCAACACTGCTTTTTGGCAACTCTAATTTGGAAACGGCACAAGCAAATGTAAATTTTCCTACATACTTATAGGCGCCTTTCTTTGACACCAGAGCTTTATAAATTTGTTTTATTATTATTGCAATATATTGGTCTCTGTTCACCTAGTGTTATCTATTTGTTTGTTTTTTTTTTTCTATTATTTAGTTTTGATGGAGTGCCAGCCCATGGAAATAACACAATTTGTCATTTAAAAGGATTGATTTTCACTTCACTTTGTTCAGTTTCAGAAGAGCCACTTGCCTGAAGTAATTTATATGGTTTGCAAAATATATTTGATTTGAAAATTGAATATAAATATAAATCACAACAGTGATTTGCTTTGGCAACAGTGTCTAATTCTGGAGAGTCATATAAATACTATAATACTATACTACTGTTTTGTATATTATCAATTTGTTTTCTTTGCTTATACTGGCCCGCCTGTTAACGAATGGAATGCAGCATTTATTTTTTCTTGTACGTGTTTTATGTGCTTAGTGTGTATAATTTTTAGATCAAAAACTAATCTGAGGTACTTGACAGAGATGGACGGCACTTCATAGTTACCTAGCTTTATCAAAAAACTTAGTAGATAATAATCAATTATTTTTCTGGTGAAAGAGATGTGTTTTATTTTCATTTAGCTTAATTTTCCATTTTTTCGTGTAGTTTGAAAATCTGTTTAGTGCATTTTGCAATTTAATAACTACATCATTGCCCGATTCATGAGAATAAAATATGTCATTATGGTCAGCATACATAGCGTTGAGACAGTGTTTAAGTTTTGGAAAATTGGAACAATAAAATGTGTATAGCAAGGGGCCTAGTGCTGATATAGGGAATTAAAATTTTATCAATTTGTATATAATTTTATTGTGCCAGACTGAGTCAAATGCTTTATGAACACTCAGTAGTATTAGGCTAGTTGACTTTTTGTTCCTAAAGTTTGATTTTACATAACAAGAGATATGCTGTGGTGTGGCCTAAACTGAGATATTTGTTATTTAGTTACCTTCTCAAAAATTTTGCTTAAGCTACTTAGGAGACTAATAGGTCTATAATTACCGTTAGCAGGCTTTTTAAGAATCGGTATAATTTTAGCTGTTTGCTAAGTGTAGGGAAAGTGATGTAATTTAAGACAGGAATTTATGATGAATGTGAAATATAGTATCGCTTTATTAGGTAAATACCTTTGCTAAAAATATTTCTGATGTCATCATGTCCTGCTGACTTTCTTAGTGGTGTTTTATTAATTAGATACTGCACGTATTTACTATCTACGTGTCAGATGATATCGAATTAAATTCTATTAGGGTGAAATTCGATTGTGCTTTTACCGAAATATTTTGCAAATATTCCAGAAAGGCTTGCTTCTCTTTTCAAGCGAACTTAGCTTTCTATTCCTAACGCTATTTCTATATTTGAAAATGTCATATCGGATTTTGGTAATATAAGAAGCTATTAATTCGTAATCTGGTCGTTGCCTAAATCTACTCCGCTGTCTACGGTGAGAGTTTCTTACCTTTATCATATTTAAAATAAAGTTGGGTAGGAAACTAATTTTGGGAGTTATTAGTGGTACAGACCTGCCAATTTCGGAAGGCGGAAACCTTCCAGACGAAGGTACTTATATATGTAGGGTGATGAGGATATGAAATTGATAGTGGAAAGAATGTGGTGAAAATTATATTTAAGTTAGGTAAATATGTTATGTTTTGGTTGAATACAAAAACTTAATTGCTTATTGTGTGATCACGTTAAATTGCTCATATATAGTTGTAGTTTCTTAATTTTAGTATAAGCTTAAAAGTTAGCTCAGTGATTTTCTTCAGAAAACATATTATTGTTATTTGCATGGTCTGCTATTGAACTATTTAGTTGGCACCGAAAATGGGGTGTTGATGTTGTTGTTGTCACTGTCCGGAGAGGGATGGGAATTCTGAGAGAGAAACTTCCAATTTCCTTTGCCTATGATGCTTTTGTGAATCTCGAGAATGAGGTGCTGGATAACGCTTTTATTTCTCTTAAATTTGCAAATACAAAGCGCGATTGGGACACGTGGGATCATATGACTTATGATTGTTATTGCAGTCTGCACATCGCACTCTGTCCTCATAGGAACCATCAGAAGTTTTATATTTTCATTTGACAGTTTCGACACTGATCTACTTTGTTTTTTATCTTTCGTTGGAAGTCCCATCTACAACAGTAATGCGAAATAATGATTTTACTTGACGTTTGAAATCATATATTGAGCCAAATGTATCAATCAAAATGTACTATATAAAGGGTATCTTTGTAATGTTCAAATATTTTAGTAACCATTTTTAATTCTTTGCATTTGAGTCCAAGAGAAATCAGTTCTATTTTCATCTCTTCTGCGAATTTGTTTTAAAGGCCATAGAGAACAACACTAAATGATCTTTCATTTTGAAGACTTTCCTTTCAACATTTCTTTAATTTTTTCATGAGACTCATGTGATTCACTAAGAATTCCTTTGGTAATTGTAATTTAAATTCACTTTAGTTACGCAACGATACGCTTTAGCTGACCGGACATATTTTTGAAGCAACTAACTTGAATTTTAAACGAAAAGTGGTATATAGCCTTCACAATACTACAGTTTCCAATTCGATTAGCTTTTGTTATGTCTATAAAAGGTTCAAGGTTCCATTTGTGGTTTACATTTGGAAAATCCTTTTTTCTTAATTATATGTTGCATGTTCACGTGTAGGGAAACCGTCGAATCGAATTGTTTCAGCTAAAGACAGGTTAACCAAAACTATTCTTCACCAATTAGTATTAAATTAAATTGAAAATGCATGCCAATTCTCACCGTTACCGGTAAAGTAAATTTTGTTATATTTTTTAAGACACAAAATTGAAATTGGTTTTAGCGTATAGGTGACATTTGTCAGTTGGTGAAGTACAAAAGAAGAATATTTATATCACAATGGAAGACGGAGCACAATAAAATAAGTAAGTTTTATTTATTTGTTTATTAAGTCATAAACAATTATGGAGGAAGCATCAGTGTCATTGCAGTGTCTGTCCACCAGAGATGTGATTGCGAGCGGGTGTCGGTCTTCAAGAGAGAGCCCCCTTATGATTATGACTCCCGCAAACATCAAAAGGTTCATGATTTTAGGGCACGTACCTGGAATCTCTGGTCCCTTAATTGAGAAGGTGCCGCTGCGCAGGTGGTTGAGGTCGTCGTAAGAATAAAGGTTGAATCCACCCACCGCAGAAGTGCGATGGATGGGACAAGGACAAAAGCGAATAGATCCTTTTAACATTTAGTGCAGCTACGTAATTTTGGTGTCGGGCTTGCGGTGGGAGAAAGACTCCGTCGACGAGTACTGGCATTCACGCGGTGGATGAACGTCTCGCCACAATTCGCATAAAAGCAAAATTGTCACACATCAATGACTTTAGCCCACTTGGCCAAAGATGCCTTTTATGAGCGCCATCTGCAGCTTGGTATACGGGAACTGTGGGACGGCATTTCAAGCTCTCTACGTACAGCTGCACGAAACTATTGGATCTCGTAAACATCGCAAAACCAGTTCGTACGACGAGGACTATTGTGTCGCAGTGGAGAGAAAACAGACTGTCTACCTCGCAACGTTGCGATTGACCACTAGAATGGCGGGATGGTATAGATACCGAGGGAGGACAACCCCCAATCGATGACGATGAAAAAGACGTTCCATTAGCTAACCATGGAGAAGTTCGACTAGCAATCATCCGCTTAAAAAACAACAAAGCGTTGGGAGCTGACGGCTCACCGGCAGAGCTATTCATACATGGCAGTGAGAGCTGACATCGTGCATCAGCTACTTTGCAAAATATGGTCGGACGAATGCATGACCGACGATTGAAGTGTAAGTGTGCTGTGCCCACTCCATAAATAAGGGGATCCATTAGTATGTGCCAATTACCTTTGGATAAGCCTCCTTAGTACCGCTTATTAGGGCCTATCGATAGTATTGTATATCGTATAGACTGAAGCCCACTTTCAATTAACTGATTAGTTCTTATGAGTGTCGCTTTAGAAGTGGTAAATCAATAATTGACCAGATATTCACCTTGCACCAAATGTTGAAAAGACCTTTTCGTCGATTTCAAAGCCGCCTGCGACCGCATGAATAAGAGCTGTCTATACGCCGCTATGTCTGGATTTGGTACCCCCGTAAAACTTCTAAGGCTATGTAAAATGATCTTAAGCTCCGTCAGGATCGGGAAGGACCCCTCCAAGCCATTCGGTACTACACGATGTTTCAGACTGGGTGATTCCTCCTCGTGTGACTTAATTTATGGCTGGAGAAATAAAAAAAGAGTTGTGAGTAAACTATTTTTTAGATTCTATTTCGGGTCATTGTTCTGTTGAATTGTTTGATTTTTTATGGCCGCCAAATTAGAAGGTATTTTCGTTCAAGAAATCTGCTAAAGCCGAAGCCGGAGATGACTCGGCCTAGGGTTACAATCTAAAGCGCGGTAGATGCCGGCAACTTACAAAGGCTTTGTTGCCATATATCAAATTAAAGGTATTTTCATGCCCCTTTTGTTTCTGGTGGTTTAGCTTATGGTTAATATGACAAAATTTTAGAAAAAAATAGTAATTCCAACGATGCCGAGCTTTAAAAATTTGGTGTACAACTTTTTGAGATATAGCGTCCCCCCATATCTTCGAAAATAAAAGTTTGTCCCAAAAAAAATTTATATCACTAAAATCAGGAAAACAGCGCGGATCACAGACACTTTTTTATTTTGTTCTACATTAACGGTCTGTACTCTGCACTGTTCCAAATTTCTTACTTTACGATGTCTATTGCCCGTTTTCTCAATTTCCAACGAACTTAACCTTTAACCGGAGGATAGCTAACCGTCAGATAGACTGATGTAACATTTACGTTTTCACCAAGTTCTGGTTACTGAGCTTCTGGTTAGTGTGATCATTGTAAATATTTTAAGATAAATTCACAAAAAATTGCGTTGAGAATACATCAGAACTGCATGACAGCTGGTATTGGCATACATTTTTCCACACGATATGGTTGAGTAATTCTTAATATTCCGTTCCGTTCTCTCTTTTATTTTTTAATACATTTATATGGTTTCGTTGCACCTTAGCTATGTTTTCTTCTGCATCAATGGATGTTTCTGCTGGTTCATTCGCTTAACTTCTACCTCATTCAAATTAGAGTCATTATACAGGCAACAATGATGTTCATAGTTGTGCTGAGCACAACTTTCAATCCATTGCTCCTCGATATGCAATTTCTAGTATGGATTTAATATTCATTGTGAAGACGTTCGGCGCGAAGATTGAGATGTGAAAGTTGACACATCATGTAGTTGCTGATAAACCGTAACCACTACCACCCAATTAAAAGAAGTCCCTAAATTCGTTTTGCTCAGACCGGTGGTTTAAACAGCTATTATTAAAAATAATGCTATCATGTCCAGAACCAGGTCACCTGCATACAAAGTCCATTACTTCCATTTTACAAGTACCCTTTTCTACTTTGAAAACTTTCAGCTTTTTTCTCCAGGTGATTTGATTCTGACACAAGTGCCACTTTTATTGCACCCAACACCGGAACACAAATTAAAGCACGTCCTGATTCATAAAAACGTTATGTTAAAAGCAAATGTTCCGCCGCTTTATTCTTGCAAAATCCAATGAATTATCAACAGTATTCAGGTCTGATTCTAATTTTACTTTCTAAATCTACGAATAGAAATTTCTTCGTTATGTTTATCTAAAAAAATTTATTTGTGTACGGCGCGTTCTTTCCCTATAAATACGCATTTGAATCTATGCAGGCAGATCGGCAGTGCATTCCATATTTTCCAAAATAAAATGTATTTCAAAAGCCAACACTGGAATACTACTTAATTTATTATATAACAATTTCATGCTGTCAAATTGTTGACGTTAACTTAACCGCAACTTAATTGACAGAAGCGCCTTAACCATGTCGCGTACTGGCCGCAACAAAAACTATACTTTTGTGTTAGTTTGTTCATTACCTTTATTTTGCCTAAGCTTCCTTTCACTTCAAGCGTTGGCAGTGACATCTGTCGGCAAATAGTTGCATTATTTGAAGCCATGGATTGACGGCACGGTTACATTCACTGCTTGCCTACCCAGTGGTATAAGTCTCCAAAAGAAGGTGTTCCCCTAAACGGTCCCTCCACTAACAAATATTAGGGCAACGGAATGCATTGCGTGGTTATTCCGTAAGAAGGGGTTTTTTTGAAGCGGCGCGGTGATTGTTTAGTGTAAGTGACAGTTGAGGTAAAATAAATAAAAAATAGAGTGCCGTAAATAGAGGCAAAAGACATGTTTCTTTTTTTTGTGTTTAACCAGGAGAGGCTGAGAGGGCAGTTGAAGCCCCACCATTGGAAGGAGCGCGTTTTTAGTGGCAAAACCAGAGTTTGGCGACACCACCGGATGAGCATCGAAGTCGGGATGCACACCCGACCGAGCAACCGCTAGGTATCATATTGTTGACGTATTGTTTGTTAACGTTTTGTCGTGCCGACAGTGTAACCACCTTCGTTACGTCCTTACCCATCCCTATAGCATCCCGCACCCAGAGCCCAGTCAAACAGGCGGGTTAAAGCAGCACGGCAGTAGTGCGAGTGGGATCGTAACCAGTTTGCTTGGACCACACATCGGGTGCACCCCAAAACATATTTCGTTTATTTTGACATATACTTATAGTTTTGCTCTGCTGTCTAGTTATTGTTGTCCTGCGATTTTTGTTTATATCGGCGTTAGTAAATTCACGTGGTGTTGTTTTGCTCTTCGTTGGATTTCGTTAGTGTACGTAGCCAGCGACCCACGCCGTCGTCACTTAGCTGGCCGGTCGTTTTATTAGTTTTTTGTCATCTCCTTTGTAAGTAGTTGGTAGTTTGTTTTGACGTGTGTGGTTGTTGGTAGGCGCCTGACCAATAGCCATATGTATGCCTACAATATTGTTACGATTTTACTAAATCAACCTCGATGATTTTCTGAATCCTTCGGGTACGATCTCTGGATTGTTAAATAAAAGCTCGCCAACTTAATTTGCAGTTTCTTTCGTTATAAAGAATTAATCTAATGTCCTTTATTTTCTCAGTAATTCACAATTCAATTACAATGCACTTTACTATTTACAATCACTAGCATCAACTTTCACAATTTACTTTCCTTAAATGTAATCTCCAACGCGTTTACTTTACGACTTTACTGATGTTAACGCCAACCAGTTCACTTTGTAACTAACTAACTTGGCAGCTGAGTGTCCCCTTCTATAGCAGTCGGCTGCTCGCAGACGAAAGTGTAGAAGCATCGAGTTGTTCGCTATCGAAGGTTCTTGCTTTATCGTTCTAGAATGTACTAGTTATCGGCTTCTCTCTTTCATCTGACATTTGCATTTTCGCAACAATAAATATGCCATATAATTACCAATCTTATCAAAATACTTAAGAGTAGAAAACAAATCAGCTGAGAGATACTGATGTACTATATTTGACAGGTATCTTTTTTGGGTTGAATATAGATTTTGGCAGCTAGCATGGTGATAATGAAATCTTAAATATCATAGAAAAATCTTCAATAAATTAATGTCTTTTATATTTTTTCAATGGAAAATATGATCGTCATAAAGATATTCGAAAGATACGCACAGGAGATCATTTAAACAATAAGTAGAATGCTAATAAGCAACATGTCGCAGTGAATTTCTCATATTCATAATTTTCATCAAATTTTATTAAAGGTGGCACGAAATGTACATATATAAGAAATATATTATAATTTTGTGTATTAATAATATTTGATTTGTTTGATAAGATTTCCCGATAAATGAAGATATTCAAAGTGGACATATGTATATGTATGAGTATATGTAAAATTCTGAAAAATGGTGATTTCAATTATATACTAAATTATGATATCAATGACCATTTAAATGACTTATTAAGGCAAGCATAAGTATGGAACGCCTACTAGGAATTGAATTTTTAGAATGTAAAAGTTCGGACGGGTCGGTTGAATTGGGGACAAATATAAAGTACGAAACTTTTGATTGATCAATTACTGTTTCTTATCGAAACTTCAACGAGCAAACATATACATAAATATCTGACATGTTAGGTATTAAAAATTTTAATATATGAATTAAAAATTATGAATTAAAAATAGAAATTCAGGAAGGGACGAACAAATGTTATTATTAGAGAGTCTATTTATTCTTGAACAATTTTTTTGTTCACTTTTATAAAATAGCAAGTTATAAACCTATTTTTTATTAGGACTCGAATTCTCAATTTAAGAAGAATAGAATCAGTAAACTAGGCAGAGCGGAATAAGGCTCATTCATTACTTTTAACTTCTTATATTCAAAAATATATGCATATATTATACATATAACATTAAACGGATTCAGAATAAAAAATATATCATTAGAAGATTCTACTACTACCTATATACGAGTATATTAATACTAGAGAAAAAATTATATTATTTGAGATTGAATTTATTTAAAACATCTTAATTTTGATACTGGCTTAAACTCATCAAACAGAGGTAACATTGCATAATACGTAATTCACCAACAACCTTCTATAACAAAAAATTTTAAATCAATGATGATTACGAAATACACTATTAAATATTATTTTAAAAAGCTATGAAAAATAAAAACTTACGTCCATTAAGACTACACACTTTCCTTTGTGTTTTGATGGTAGAAATTCCGCATATAATGTAACTCTGCGAAAAAAAGAATAAGGTAATATATCTCACAAAAAGTTTGTAAATTTATTTTCTCTGATTGTATTCATAGTATAATATTTAATATAACAAAAATATTTATATAAGTTTTGTATATTGTATATGAGGCCACGATCGCCGAATGGTTAGGATTGCGTACTGATATTCAAAAGGCCAGACTTCGTGCCCTGTTCCGACCGACATCCAAGCATTAAAGGTTCTCGTTGAAAAAACAACCAAAAAACCAACCTTTGCGAGATTGAAATGCAATATAAAGCGGAAAATATAATTAACGATACCTATTGTAAAACCATAAATTTTAACGAAAATTAAAATTGATTCGTTTTAAAAAGAAGTAATTAATCATATTATAGATAGATACATAGATATAGAGAAATACATATGTGGGCACCAATTGCTTGAACATTTCACTAGAAACTTCTATTAGAAGATGGGATTACTTTCTGACTGATATAAAAAACAAGACAATATTAGCGTGCCATTGGAAATACTAAGTGAAACCAGGTCCGACTCATCAGATGTTGACAGAGTTAGTTTTCGTTCGTCGAGAGAGGACTTTACTTTTTAATTGCCCACTCAGTCCAAAGTAGCATCTGTTGGCAAGAGTGATTCTGCGTTGGATTTTAGTGCTGACATTATTATTGGTGTTAACGTTAGGTAGACAAAATTATCTACTACCTCAAAGTTATAACTGTCAACATTAACGTGGGAGCCAAACCGCGAATGTTTGATGGTTGGAGATATTTTGTCTTGTCCTGGTAGCGGAGCAAATTTTCCATCGTCATCAATTAGATTTTCGGGAACATCGGGAGCCTCATTTTCACTGAAGAAGTGTTCCATCCATAAATTCAGGGTACTCTGGGCATCTGTCACTAGATCACCCCTCTGGGTCCTACAAGAGTTTGATCCGGTCTTGAAACATTCCGCAAGTCGTCGTATCTTTTAACAGCGTTTTCGAGCATTACTCTTGTCTCGAGCATCTTGCTTCCCTCTTCAGCTCTCAGTATCTATCCGAGGTGTCCTCTCCACCACTGCGACACGGCAGTCCTCATCGTACCAGCTGATTTGCGACTTTTATGAAATCGCTTGCAGCGTAAAATTTGAAATTCCGTCACACAGTTCCCTTTTACCGAGTTACTGATGAGTGCTCTCAGAGATCAGGAGTTGAAAACCGTTCGGCTGTTTGTTGTGATTGCAGCTTTTCGACGTCGAGCGTTCCTTGTGTTTGTTGATGGGCGTTTTTTGATACACAGAGGCATGTGCGTATCTTCGCTGCGACAAGATAGTGATCCGAGTCGATGTTAGGACCTTGGATCGTATGCATATCTAAAACACTGGATACATTTTTTCATCTTATCATGAGCTTTTCGGTCTGGAGACAGCCAAAGAGTTTGGTGAATTTTCTTGTGCCGGTAGCTAGTGCTACAAACAACCACATTTCGGGCCCCGGCGAGATCGACCAGCCTCAACCCATTTAGGAATGTTTTGTCATGAATGCTGAGTTTTCCGACAGTTGTGCCGAATATACCTTTTTTGTCAACCATGGCGTTGAAGTCGCCAAGCACAATTCTCACATTGTGGCGGGGGCAGTTTTCATAAGTTTCCCGGTCACATCGTTCTTCTATGGGCGCTAATAAGCGTAACGTTAAAAAAATTTTGTTTCGATGCGAATTGTGGTGAGACGTTTATCTACCGCGAGGAATGCCAGTACTCTGCAAAGGAGCTTCTCCCACCACAAATTCGACACCTAATTTGCGCTCTTTTATATGGCCACTGTATTAAATGACACAATGAGCCACGTCCATGTTCCATCAAGCGCACTTCTTGGACGGCGGTGATGTCAGCTTTTAATTATAATAAGATATCAACCAGCTGAGCAACGGCTCCTTCCTAATTAAGGTACCGGGTACTCCAGGTGCATGCCCTCAAATTGTAATTAATGGGTCAACATTAGTCAACTAGTAGGTCTCGCGTCTCGCTATCAGCTCATTGTTAGCCGATTATTGTCCATGCTTCAACGACCGCAATCGCTAAACGTAGTTGCAAACTGCAGAGTAAGATTTTTACTTGTATATAGAAAATGTATGAAGCAGTATCGCTTCGATGGTGAGCTCTGCTGCCACGTAGAGGTCGTGCATAACTCGTCGTCAATGAAGATGGGTAATATGCCTGAGCCATTTTTAAATGCATCCCGTTTGGCAACTTGGAGCCATGGATTTCCCAAAATTCTTATTAGCTGGAGCAAACGAGCACAGGTCTCCATTGCACGAATTTACGCTCTAGATTGTTCGCCCACTATATAGTCGGAAACTTTTTTTCGGGTGTCTCACACCCATGTTCGTTAACGCCTAAGATAATTTATACGTATGCAATTGCATTGCTTCATGTCGACACTGATGTATACATTTTAGATTAACCACTTTGTATTGAGAAGTACAAGCAATCGTTCCTTCGCTACACTACGGTAAAAAACTTTGTAGGCAGCATGCTAATACAGTGGGTCACAGCTTATTTGATACAACAGCCGTTATAAGTCCCATTATTTTCTTAAGTGAAGGGAATATTGAAAAATTTAAACGTGTATGATGTATTTCATTTATTTAAAAAATATTTTATGTTCAATTATTTTTATATAAAATTAAAATTACTACTAAATTTCAGGTAACAGGTTATTTGATACCGATAATTTTCCAACATGAGGCGCCAGATATTCGCACCGCATAACTGTATTTTATTTTGCCACTCATATTAGCGTCGTTTATGATTAGTTTAAACATTTTGGTGCACAGCAAGTACATTTATTTAAAAATGTGTGGTTGTACAACAATTGAGCAGAGTGAACTGCCCATAAACCATTTTAAAAGTTGTAGATCGCATCGAAAAATTGGTGAATTTGTGAACCTTAGGACCTCCGCTGTTGGTTGGTTGCAGAAGCTCAGCAAAAATTAGGAAAAAACCTGCAGCGCTGAAACTATCGGACGCGTAATCCGCGAACAAGATTTTAATGGCCGAGTTGCTCGTAAGAAACCAAATATGTCCAATAAAGCTCACTCAGGTACAAGTTTGTAATACCCATGATTTTTGGAACACTGTTGTAATTTCAGGCGAGCCAAAATTCAATATTTTTGGGATAGAAAAAGGCGAGCTAGACGATTGGCAGAAAGAGATTTTTTGTGTTATTTTAGAATGAACTAAACTCTATAAAATAAGCTGTGATCTGAAATTCAGCAGTAATCTTATTTTTATATGCATATACTTGAAAATAAAATATTTTTTAAATAAATAAAGTACATCATATACATATATGAATAACTCGGAATGAGTCTTACTACACTAAAAACGTACATAGGGTACGTAGGTAACTATTTGTAAAAAAATATTTTTATTCTTATTTTTTAGCAATTTTTACAGTTTGTCCGCCACCTTTGTTTAAAATATTACATAACTGAAATCACTTAATTTTGTACTGTTTTTTAAATATTCAAAAATAAAATAGAAAAAAGAATAGATAAAATGAACAGACTAATCTTTTGTTATTTTTTTCACACCAAACATTATTAACCTACGAAATAACATTAATAAATGTGCGACACACCCAGTTCATTGACGTGTGACACGGCGGAATAAATTTGAACTAATATTCGTATATAATATATATATAATTATGTATTTGTATGTATATAATTGATGTTCTCCAAAAAATAGATAAACCCACAGTTTAATCTAAGCCGCATCCGAACGGCCGATGGATTTTAATGAGGAGCTCTATATTTAATGTCAGAAAAACACTCGGAGAGGTTGACATTCCCCGCCGAGGGACAAGAGGAATTAGAAAATTTAAATATGTTATACAAACATATATTCAATGACCAAAAAATATTAGTTTGAATTTATATTATGAATTTTATGTTATGATAGTACGTATGAACAAAGCTAATTGTATTCGAAACTAAAAATGATGTCCAAATGTAATTTTTCTTATATCGTCCATAATGTAATCGGATGTTGTGCAAGGGTGGGGTATATGGCACATCCCTAGGGCGCCCCAATGTTAAATGGACCATATTTTATGTATGGTTTTTGTTAGTTTTGGATTCCTTTATTGTTCGCGTGGAGTATAAATTTCATGTCTGCATGAATCATTCGCGTTTCTTGCAGAGTAATGCCAGACCGTGTGTGCATAAGTTTAATTGAAAATTATAAAATACAGGGAAAGCTCTAATAGCGGGCACCTCTCTTGAGAAGAAATTTTTTCATGCTTCAAGTTTTAATTGTAATTTTTAGAAAATAAAGTTTATCCGTTTCTTTTTCGCATTTTTTATACATTTACAAATATTATTAAAATCCCTTTCTTTAATATTTTCGCTTATCTGCAATCAGTTGATCGGGCCTTTTATAGAGTCTCTTAATCTGTGCTATTTCATTTGTTTCGAAACCAGTTTTACTAATTATTTCAGTGCTTCTGCACATTTTGAAAATTGACAGAGAGCGTCATATTTGATGTTTTGATCTGATGGCTTTGCGATGAGCTTATCCACGCTAAATGCGCCGGCTTAAACGTACGTTTTCTCGACATAATTCATGCTGGTAAGACCAAAAAGTATAAAAGTTGGGGTTGACACCTTTAAACTTTTCAAAATTACAGGAAGTGGATTCCTTGAAATAGGGAAGAATTTGAAAGTCCTTGACGAAAATCTTAAATCTCTTAAATCTTTTAAATGCATTTCTTCCAGATTCTCCGAAAATGAAGACAGGGTAAAAGACGCAAAAACAAAGTAACGAAAGTATAGTTTTAAACACAGTTACGGTCGGTTCGGACGCTCCTAGAATTCAATCAATCAGTATAAATAATAAAAACTTATTGACGTTAGCCTGAGTAAAACAATAATTTAGAACCTCTATTTTGCGTATCAAGGGCTACCGCAAAGTTATTCGGAGTAAGAGACAATCAGACTTCACACTCACTTCTTTCTGCACCT